CAAATCTTGATAGAAACCTTCTTAGATTTTCTCAAAGCCTGGCATTACAGTGGCCCCTGATTGATTTCCCTTTCTCCTTCGAAGACACATTTGAAGCACTACCTGGGGTTCCCCGTTTTATGATACTCTATTGTCCAATGGTACCGTAATTCATTCCCATTTTCATTACAAATCTTGAAGGAAACCTTCTTACATTTTCTCAGTGCCTGGCATTAGGGAAGCCCTTGATTGATTTTCACTTTCTCATTAGAACACGCATTTTAAGGACTGCCTATTTCCTCGTTTTGTCTTACTCTGTTGTCTACTGGTAACGTAATTCATTCCCATTTTCATTACAAATCTTGAAGGAAATCTTCTTATATATGTATATATTCTTTAGTTATAAATTAAAATTGCTCATTTTAATTGGCGCAATAACAACTGGCGATTCTTTACATCTCAATCGACATTTGGAATTTTAGTTCTTTAATTATGAATCAGGAATTGAAGTTCCTCATTTTAATTGACGCATTAAAACAATTGACGATTCTCTAATTGTCAATCAAAAATTAGAATTTTAATCATTTAATTAAGAATGAAAATTCCTCATTTTTAATTATCGCGTTAGTATTGACGTTTAAAATATTTTGTTTTCAACTTTACCGTTCGGCTACCGTTCTTCATAACGTAAAAAACAAAAGAGATAATTATATGATCTCTTTTTAGCTGAGACACTGTATACATGCGTTTATAATAATTTCGCTCACTGTATAAATTCTTCATTATTGTACCTTGATCATCTATAGCCATGGCCTTCATCATCCAAGATATTAAATCCGTTCCTACAGCGACACGAAATTAATTATAATATTATCATATTAAAAAAACGAAAACCAGATACGTAGAAAACTAAAGTGTTGATATATTACCAGTAAAAACGGACGGCGTTTTCGTCATAAAATTCTTTACCGTTTTCACTGGGACTCCTGTAACTTCATCAGACATCTTTTCTACGATAGCTTCCATCTAAAATTCAAAGAAAATAGTATAAAACAAAATAGGCTTATGAATTCAGCGTCAATCAAATATTGTAGATTGAAACA